ATTTCCGGTTATTTGTCAAAAATAATATATTATATATTATTTTCAGTTTTATTATGTACTCTCGGACGTTTGTAAAACGCGCACGTGTGAGACCGGTGCACACGCCAACGAGTATTTCGTGAGCGTGCGGACCTTTGCCGAAAATTAATTTAATGCAGGCACCCGCAAGGAGGAAAGACGCGGGGAAAATGCAAATTGGTTCGCCAAATTCTGCAGTGCACTGTCACACAAGCAGACATGACCATAAAAACCTGAAGAACCAAAACGCGCACCAAGAGCGCGAACGGACTTGACCTTGGCCGAGCGAGTGGTCCGAAGGACAGCCACGCCTGACCGCAGGATGGCATCAAATGTCCGCTTCCATGTCCGGAACATCATCACAAACGAGGGAATTACGAACTCTAACGAAGGGTCACCTTCGACAAAAGAGAATTGATATGAATTAACTGAACCAGTGGCAATTGCGCTGGTTCAGGTGCACAAGAAAGCCGGCTCAAGCTATGTCATCAGTTCATCAATCTGCACCAGGTTGCGATCGCGAATCGAAACGCATCGGTCATTTGAAAGCCGAACTCCATACCTGTGATTGGAGCCCCGGTTGGTGACAATGGTGCCTTCAAAGCCATTCAGAGCGTTGTTGGAGAGGCCGAACAGGCGCACACTGCTACCGACGTCAAGCAACTTCTCACCTCCAATGGCACTGCAAGTCGTTGAGCAAGCAATGTCTTCTTCCATGCAGAGGCTGCAGATGACAAGGGCAAACTGCGATCTTGCCACCATCAGACAAAAGCACACCATACCGTCCTGACGCAAGAAGCGTAGTAATGGTGCCAGCCTGTCCGTTCATGCTGACAGTCTTGAGGCCCCCGAGAAGAACCCTTTCACCTCGAGAGTACACCGGTTTTTGGTCTTGCACCTGGCATTGCTCACGGGTACCAACTTCATGCTTCACCAAGCCTGGCCCAGAGGAATTCCAATCTACCTGCAATTCTGTGACTGTCTGTCTGGCATGCAAACACCTGCATGCCATGTTCCAACAACTCGTCGTCAAAACTCGGCCCTTGATCAAGTTGGCCTTGGGAAAGTCGTTTCTTGCTTTTGTCCATCGCCACGCACAAGGCCTGTGGAGAATTTGGAGCAGACGGCAAAATCTGATCGGGAAAGAACAGGTAGCGCTCCAAAGACAGCTTCACAGGTGAGCCACCCGCAGGGCTGGAAGGGGGTGCGCCCCAGGCTTGCCATGACTGCGGACGGGGCCCATCATGAAAGCCAGACCATTGGCATGGCATGCACCGATGCAAAGCCATGGCGATGTGGAATGGCAACCAAGTTTGCCACAGAAACCATTGCCACAAGTGGGGATCGGGCACCGGGACAACGATGTAAGGCGAATCAACACGGAGCGCCATGGCAAGAACAGGCACCCCACAGAGACAAAGGAACCTGAACGGCCGAAAAGGCAACAGAGCGGGGGCAGCCGGGCACCGGAACGCAGAGGCCACCAAAGAGTAACAAACGAGCCAAGCCGCAAACAGGAGCACAAGACACAGGCAGCGGCGAGGAACCAAAAGACAAGGGCCGTTGCCTGAGTGGCCAAACCACCCGAAGCCAAGAAGAACCGGCACTTCCACAAACCTCTCTCACACCAGAAGGATTGTGGACAAATGGGAAACAACACACTGCTCAAGCCGTCGGTCGCCTGGCAAGTCCACTGGTTTTCCAAAAGCAACACCACCTGACGCCAAAGGGGGACAGGACAGAGGAACGAGAACAACGGGGCCAAAAAGAACTCTCGAACTCTTGGAGCCGTCCTGCCTACCCGCGCGGAGGGGGTTCGAGCCAAGGCTAATTTTATTATATACTAAATGTTATAAAAATATATGTTATATATTGAATATTAAATATTATATATATGTAAATCTATATATATATATTATATGTCATATGTTATTTTGCATATACTATGTATTGTATATAATATGTTTGCATTATAGGTATATTGTATATTATCTTATGGTTGCTGTATTTACTGTATTATACTTTACTATATTTTATCAAATTTAGTTGTATTTTTACTAAATATACATATGTATATCTATATATATATATTGAATCATATTATATATATATATATCGTATGTATTGTATAAAATGTCGATGTTATCATATTTCAATTTGATTATATATAATATCTTTGAAAATATGTTTTATTTATTATATCTTATATTCTATATTAATTATCATATATTATATATTACATATTATATATCATCAAATATATGTTAAATATTATATATAATATATGTTAAATATTATATATAATATATGTTAAATGTTATATATTTCATATAATATATAATATATTATATATAATAAATTATATATTATATATTATGCATTATATATTATATATTATAAATTACATATTACATATTACATATTATATATTCTATATTATATATGATATATATCATATTACATATTATATATTATATATTATATATAATTTATTATATATTATATATTATATATTATATATTATATATTATACATATAAAATATGTGTATTATATAGATTAGATATGAGATATTAGGTGCCAATTTTTTTTATATTGAATGAAACATGGTATATTATATTTTGTATATTCTATGTTGAATCTATATATCATAATTATATAGTGTCTATTACATTGAAATACAATATATTTTATATAAAATATATTTTTATATAAATATATATTATTAGAAATATACTATAAAGATACTATATATATATGTATATTATGATTATTTACAAAGACAAAAACGATGGGGAAAAAAACGGTAATTTACCCTAAACGGACGGCTTTAGATCCCAAAAATGACTAGCCTTGTATTCCATTCCTTATTTTTGATCTTTACCCCTGCTGACCACAGATGTCCAACTCTTGGAATGTCAAGAGGCATTCTCCGATGCCTTAATTGCAGCTGTTGCTGTTTGCAGGAGGTACGAGCCACCTCAGCATGTACTGCGACCCATAGATATCCGGGCCAAGCACAGATTCTCATCAACACGACCCCAACTTTAATGGTGGATTCGTGGGCAGGCCAATGGGGATGGTGAAGACTTTGACGGCTCTGGTGATGGACTGGGGGATCGGACCCTCCTCGATAGGCCATGGAGGGCTCGATGCACATGTGCCCACCAAAATAACCAGCCTCAAACAAGGCGTCTTAGATGCCTAACAAATTGCCCAAAAAAACAAACAGTCAGGAACAATTCTTGCCAAAAAAACGTGCATGAATGAATCTGAACAAATTACCTGTAAGCAACATCCCACAACCACCCGTTGCGGACCTGAAGAAAAACATCATGGACTTCGGTATGCAGGTTGCCGATCTCAAAGAGCAAGACCTCAAGGTAGTGCTTTTCAACGGGACACAACCAATGGTGTAGGTGGCCAAATCATCCCAGTTTCAAATTGAGAAAACAAGCACCGATCACAGCTCTTGCAGGAGTGGTGAACATCGATTTCTGGCCTTTATAGCTCTATATATATATATATACATACTATAGAAGAATACGGCATAGGTTCGGATAATCATTCTGAAGAGGAGAGCAGGATCCGATGCATCCGAGTTTCAGTGGAAAAAGAGTGGTGAGCAAGGATTTTCGCAACACCAATCTTGAGCCCAGAGTCACGGAGAAGATTTCACGATCTAAAGAATCTGCTTCTGGGTTTGTGGAACTCTTGCGCACGTGTATATATATATATGTGTGTGTGTGACATATAATTATATATATATATCACATAATTTATATAGCATATATATATGTATCAAATAACATATATATATATGCGCATGTAATATATTTATTTTTCGGCTAGAATTGAAAACGTGTCTGGCTGAGTCTGGCCTTCAAAGGGTAGAAAGGAAAATCGATGGCCCTGAAGTAGTGAGCTTGGGTATCTAAAAAATATTCACTACGTCAGGAGTGAAACAAACTCCTGACTCATAAAATTCATTGCCTTGTCGTCGCACCCAAACAACCAGGTTCTGCAAACAGCTCCTCTCCTCAATATTGAATTTTAATTCATCGATTTTCCTCGGAAGCAGAATGCTTCTGGATTATCTTGCATGAGTAGAAAGGAAAGAATACTTTAAAAGTCGCTTCTGCATCCCTGCTAATTCGCGCAAGGCACAAGTGAGTGAAACTGATTCAATAACACATTGTCTCTTTCGAATGGTTGCAAGATCTTTGAAGTTTCCCAGTGGCCAGCTCTTGGCCATTCCATACAATACAAAGGCAGCCAGGCATCTCAATCATGTCTGCTTCCATCTCCGACTTGGCATTCACACTTTGTTCAATGCCTTGGCTCTACAGCTACCAGTACTCCGAGTCCAATGACAGAAAATGGTGCTACTCAAACGCAGTGTGCAAATGGTGGTTAAAAACAAACCTCACGCAAAAAAAGACGAGTTCCAAGATCGCACAACGCCAGACCACAAGTCAGACAAGTCAAGAAGTCAGGAAAAGGTGGCTGTCGCAGGTGCCATGAATGCCATGACTGAAGGTGTTTCAAGTTTACTGCGTTTCGCCAGGAGAAACTCCCGCAGATACACCAAATCGCAAGTAAGATGCACTCTGAGAGCTCCTCCAGACGAGTCGAGCAAAGAACCCCTGGTGCTCAGGGTACCCCATGTTCAGACATGCCCATATCGTCTTGGTGACCCAATATATACCCAAGAAAACAATACTTTGAAAATTGTTATTCTGGGGTAATACCCAATTTTCAGACACAACCATGTGAAACACCTCATCAGGAGCCTAAATCAAATATCTCAAAAGAAACTGATGATCTGAAGTCTGAAGGCATCAAAAATGATGTGTGATTTATCTTGAGGTCTATGCATCTTTGAAAGTTGAAAGGGATCCTGTCACGGATTCTGCATCTCCATACATCTTTTCACCATTTCCTGTCCTCCACCGTTTCGATCTTGCCTTGCTTGGCCTCGTGTCTGCAGCAAACAAAAATCCACCGAGCCCAGGCAGCCCATGCGCTGACTGCCGAGTTGCTGCCAGTAAAGTGGCACGTAACCGCATCAAATCACAAAGGTGATCCAGCTGCTTTCTACAGTCTGGCCTAAAGTCAGATCACCAGCAATAGCAACTCATGATAGGAATAGCTCAAGATGCAATGCGAAAAAAAAAACAAATATCCCTCCGTTAATTTGGGCAAGTGCACATATGCTGGCTGCATGAAAGTCCGGTTGCCTCAAGTTCATCTCTCCCTCCTTGATGTTATTCACGACATCTACCAGAAGTTGCTCGTCCTCACTGGGCAATGCTTCCACGCGTACATGGCTCAACCATGCAAACTTTTCTTGGCCATGGACAGCTCGCCGGAAGAGGGCTTTAAGTTGACTGAATCGGCGGATATATATTTTGTTCCGCAGCGATATGCAGTTCATGTCGAACTACACGTCAGCAGCAGCTTCCCGTCAGCCAAATGGAGAAACAAGATGAAAAAAGAGAAAAAGAGAAAAGAACAGGAGAATCTGTGGCTGCAGGATAAGCTACGAACCAGCACCTATAACACGGGACCCGACGATTTTGTGTAGGTGGACCCCCAAAACCAACGAAACGACGTAGAAACAATAATCACAAACGAGAAATAAATTGAAGGAGATCGGTCCTGTGACGCACAGCAGGGTTCGTGACCACTTGTCTCTCGCTCTGGAGAGTAGAACTAGAAAATGGAGAAAGTAACAACGATGGAGTGACCGTGGTCTCCCGGCACGCCTCTGGCGGCCCCTGCGAGCTTTAGCTGCAAGGTAATGGAGTTGATGTGGCTAGAAGAAAAATTTTGTCTTGGCCCCTAAAATTGAAGCGCAGAGAACTTAATAAAAATTCGCCACTTGTGGTGTGGCATGGTGTGGTCGGAGCTGATGATAACAGCTTCCTGGTAGTAGTTACCTCCAGGCAAAAATGTCCTTGTAACAAATTTCCTTGTATAAACAGGGACATTCAGTCTCGCAAGAACAGGAAATGGAAATTGCCGCGGCCCTTTCAGTACAGAATGACGATGAGTGTACATTCCAGCAAAAGAAAAGAGTGAAAAGTAGGACTTGATGTGGAAGACCTCCCCCTTTGTCTTCATCTTGGTGTGAAATACGAAAAATCCAGAAAAATGTGCGTGGAGAAAATGTCGATGAAGTAGAAAACTGGCTGGAATTGCAAGCAGGAGAAAAATGCAACCGAATCGAGACACAACGAGGCCAAGTAAGAGATGGTTGAATTGGTACTGGTTCCAGCAAACTCGGAGGATGAGATGTACAAGAGACTGTGCAAGGCTTCCCCCACAGCCTTGAGGAAGGAGTTGAATACGACAAATCCAGAAAATAGTGATTGGAGACAATGTCGATGTAGAAAAATGTAGCCAGAACAACCTGGTATATAGTGCAAAAGCGGTCGCCAAAAGGTTGTCCAAGTAGAAGATGGATGCTGCTTGAATTGTAAGCGAGGCTGACATGGCAGAGAAAGAATCCTGATTGGATATTCCTGAAAATACAGGGGCTTGCGAACGGAGGCTAGCTAAAGCTTGTGCCCGTGCCTGGCGGATATATAATATATATATATATATATAATATATATATATATATATGTGTGTATATATATATCTATATGTATCTATGTATATATATAATATATGTGTGTGTGTGCATGTGTATATATATATATAAATAGATATATAGATGTGTGTGTGTGTATGTATGTATGTATTTATGTATGTATGTATGCATGCATGCATGTATGTATGTATATATGTGTGTACTGTATGTATGTACTGTATGTATGTATGTATGTATGCATGCATGCATGCATGCATGCATGGATGGATGGATGGATGGATGGATGGATGGATGTATGTGTGTGTATGTATGTATGGATGGATGGATGGATGCATGGATGCATGGATGCACGGATGCATGGATGCATGGATGCATGGATGCATGGATGCATGGATGCATGGATGCATGGATGCATGGATGGATGGATGGATGGATGGATGTAGGTAGATAGGTAGTCAGGTAGTCAGGTAGTCAGGTAGGCATGCATGCATGCATGCATAACGATATATAAGAACAACTGGAGGTCCACCTGACTCTTGGTCATCTGATTTCCAGTACTAGCACATATCAATAGATTCTGAATCTATATAATCAGCCTTTGTTTCGCTGAATGACGATCCGATCAACACAGGCCCAATTGAGATCATCGCCTGGGTGTCGAAATCCTCTAAGAGCATCACGAGGTGAAGGATCAGAGGCCATTTCTGTGCAGGAAATGGCTTCAACCTCGACATCACCTGGTCACTCGTTGTTGGGGAAACCAGCACCGCAGGGGTCAGAATGAGTAGCTGGGCTGGTGGGCTAGTGGTTACAACATTACAACCTATCCCAGACGATCATCATCAGTTGCAAAGTGACACGGGAGCCGTTCATCTGGCACCTCATCTATGGTGCAAAGCCACTGCTCCCAGGGGTCGAACATGGCATGGTGGCACGCTTTCTCCAGCACCTTTTAGCGGGAGGTTGGAACTCACAGGTCAACACATTGAGGTCCCAAAATGTCTGAAGTCCACCTACCAAGCCCACCTGCTGAAGCGTCTTCTTCTTCAAGAAATCATCAACCACACCTCGCAGATTGTTTCACCAGCAGAAAATATGGCAGTTCACATCCATCTGCCCTGAACAAGGAAAACAAACAACTTTCTACTAAGCCCATCTGACGCCTTTGACGTCTGTGACCATCATTTCCGGCCAAACCGGCGGCGGCCAAACCGGCGGCGGCCAAACCTCCATGGCTCTTAGCTCCTGCCGCTATTGTGGTTGAGAAAGTAGGTTGTTCTCTATGAATGAGTCAAGTTGGGGTGTGAATGGACTCACAAATTTCTCATTTTTGGTCATATGTGTCCGTGTCTGTGTTTGCTTGTGGGCTTCCCTCTGGGCACCTGAAATGGTCACATCTTTAGGGAATAATACTTGCATGTCGAACATCCAAAGTGATCCAAAGCTGAGTCTTCATTGACGACCAACGACTCTACACCCTCCAATTGCTTTGGTTTCCCCACAAAGCTGAGCGTTGCGGTACAAGAGAGAAAAATCCGTCGCTGCTGCCAACAACCAGAATCAGCTGAAGTGAGAAGATGTGAAGATGTGCCTGTGACAATAACTTACAGTAATGATGACAACTCAGATTGCAGAATTGCCCAACTCATGGAAACAGGACTGCTTTATCAGAGATAAGCAATGCGGACAACAGAGCACATGATCTTGTCGTATGTTTCGCCTCTGGCTTTGCACTTGTCTGTTCCATTCATTTCAATCTCTGGTGGATAGAATTTGGGTTTGTCAAAAATTAGGTTACCCCAAAGTCCTGCCGGGTTCGTCATCATGTTTCGTATCTAAAAATGCAGGGAAATCCCCAAGAAGAAGTGCGATCTGGGTCCGCGGCCAGTGCTCAGGACGTTGGCCTTGAAATGTGTGGGTCTTGTCACGGTCTTGTCTTTTGCTGGCCCTGTTTGGATCATGATTTAGGGACAAGGGAACCTGAGATGTTGGTTCTTTTACAAGTAATCATAGCACAAGAATGTGAAACAATTTTGCCTTCAGCTGTTCCCAAGATCTTGCCAGGACCGAAAAATCCTTTCCTTGAAGATAACTCAAGAAATGCCACCGCTGCTGGGAGGCTTGCTTCCGCCAAACAACTAGGAAGAGCAGCCTGTGCTTGCAGCGCACAAGTGCAACGTAGAAAACTACTAAGCACAATTCTTCAGACAGGTTTACCGGAGGAGTTCTTGCATGAGATACGACTAAAAATAAATTTGTTTGCACACCTTCTCAAATATGTGCCTGTGGCATGCTGGATCCGGAAGAATCTTTGACATTGTTGCTGAGAGCTATCCATACAGAAACTCCATCTTCAAGCCAGGGCATGCGATGACTGGTGAAACAGCTTGCCTCGTCTGCTTCAAGACTTTCCACTTTGCAGTAGGGATTGAGCCTTGCCACATATGGACCATTCCTTTGATCTGCAAACCACAGCTACAAGAACTTACGGTTGGCAAAACTCTCAGAGCGCGGCGATTTCAGCTGCGCCATGCATTCAGCTGCGCGTGGCTTGCCTCAGCTCGACTATTCGAACAGCCTTCACCGATCTGGTTTGCTCACAAGAATTATCCCGGCAAGACCCCCCCTTGAAGCACTGCGTAGTTAGGATTCTAAGGGGGAAATGTGGAAGAGACCCAAAATCATCAGTGGCTCCAAGCTAGCAGGACAAGAGCGACCCCAGTAGTGAGAACATGGTGTTCACTGAAGGCGGTCTCTGGAAGAAGAGATGCCAGGTTGAAATCTGGAATTTCCCTGTGTGAAGATCTCTGTAGAAGATCGTGCGCAAGTCTCAATTCAAGATCTCTGTCCAAGCTCTCTATGAAAGATCTCTGAGCAAGATCTCTGTTCTCTTCACCAGGTCTCTGTACAAGATATCTAGAAGAGGTCTCCTAGCAAAATCTCTGCACAAGATCTCTATAAGAGCTCTGTTGGCAAGATCTCTGCGAGAGACCTCTTGGCAAGATCTCTGCAACAGATCTCTATGCAATGTCCCTGTACAAGATCTCCATAAGAAGTGTCCTGGCAAGATCTCTGTGCAAGATCTCAATACGAGGTCTCTTGGCAAGATCTCCTTATGAGATCTCTGTAGAAGCTGTCTATAAGAGCTCTCTTCGCAAGATCTCAACAGATCTCTATGCAATGTCTCTGTACAAGATCTCTGTACAAGCTCCCTCTAAGAGGTCTCTTGGCAAGATCTCTTGAAGAGATCTCTGTACAAGCTCTCTACAAGAGCTCTGTTGGCAAGATCTCTGTAAGAGACCTTTTGGCAAGATCTCAACAGATCTCTATGCACTGTCTCTGCACAAAATCTCTATACTATAAGAGGTCTCCGTGGTCAGATCTCTGCGCATCCTCTCTATAAAAGACCTCCTTGTCAAGATCTCTGCGCAAGATTTTCTTGACTATCAAAATGAGCACCTCGCCACAACGAGAGCGATCTGACAGGCCCAAAGTGACGAGAAGGTTGCGCGAGCCATCTCCAAATGAGCACCACGCCACAGCGAGAGCGATCTGATAGGCCCAAAGTGACGAGAGGGTTGCGCGAGCGATCCCAAAATCAGCACCGCGCCACAACAAGAGCGATCCGACACGCACAAAGTGCCGAGACGGTTGCGCCAGCACATGTCAGAGTTTAACAAAACATCGCGCGCACCGCGAAAATGAACATGGAAAATTGAAAAAAAACAAAAACGATGTTTTACCTAGGTCTCAGCCACTTTTTTGTCGAGGTCTACAAAGTACTGCGCCTGCCACAAGAAATGAACCCGAGGCATCCGAAGTTCTGCACCTGCCACACGGAATCATCATCCTGTCCAAAATCAAAATTCGTCAGTTTCACAAAACAAGATTTTTGACCCTTTCAAAACGTCGACCAAGTTCACCAAATAAATATTGCGCCTGCCAAGCAACATGACCTCCAAAACCACCTCTCATTTTGACCGACGCCTGGCAACGTTTTAGCAACGTGCAACAAGTGCCACCCCTGCCACGCGGATGAAAAAGTGTACGATGTCCTGCACCTGTCACGCCAACGACGTTTTAGACCTCAAAATGTCCCGAAAGTGCCACGCCCGTCACACAGAATGGACATATAGCTCAAAAAACGAGCACGGCGCTCTAGTAAAACGAGACCTTCAGTAGAGAGGTCCGCGGGCAACCGTTTTGTGCGAGACTTCCGTCGAAAACGGAAGATGAAGGAACTTTCGTGCTGTAAGGGTCATCAAAAATGGCGTGCACGTATGATACCACCTCGAATGAACATCAGGCCTTAACTCTCACCGTAAGAACCCCAATTGTGGCCACACTGTTTGGGGAAAAACGCCTGTACTGCTCTCCGTGAGGTAGAAGTTGCAGCCTCTGTCCTGGCGCGCTTGGGGCCTATGCAATTCGTTGGCAAACCTTCAGATCAATTTGCTGTCCTCTGGCTTCGCAGGAGTAGGATCCCAAACAGTGACACTGCCCACCTGGAAAACATGAAGCACTCCTTCCAATTTCAAGGAAAATCTAGGGGTAGAAACATCTAAGTTATAAGTTATAAGCATCTAAATATCTCGTACTTTTAGGGTTACCTGTTACCCAAGTGCTGAACTGTGAGCAAGCCATGCAAGGTCCCCCCATTTTTTTCACGATGGCTGAGTTGGATACGTTGCTCAAGATGAGGTTCTTTGCCGTTTCCACCTGAGATTCAAGTCCACTCAGTTCGAGGGAAACTTCTGCAATTCTGCAATTCGCAATCACAGTCCGCGTCTGCTGTTTGCTGCTCAACCCTGGGATCTGGACACCAACACCTCTACAGCCAAGGATCAGGACATTGATGTCCTGAAACTTTCCATTTCGAGGCAGTCTGAGGCCAAGGTCACCCAGCTGAACCACCATCTGCTTCACCCATGGCCTTCATCCTGGCCATGGTCTCTCCTCCGAAAGCTGCCTGGCAGATGACTTGGCACCTTTGTGATGACTTGCTGTCAATTCAATGCCGTGCCTGCGCTCGGCTCAGCCGGTCCTGTTCCACATCCTGGGAGGGAGTGCCAGGCCATGCAAATCCGTCAACATCTTCCAACATATTTCGGAGCAGAATCTATGCAGCAAAATTAAAACTCTAAGCCCCCTGGCTGTTTGACCAGCTTCAGCCTCACGAAATCTGCTGAGTGTCACAGTGTTTTTCCAATCTGTTTGTTGCGAACAGTGCACCTTCCAGGCGCCCATCCAATCGCCCCATGCGGCCTAAAGCCAGGGCAGGTGGGGTGCCTGTTTCAACATGGCACCAGTTTTGTCCATTGTTTTTGGCTTATTAACTTAGAAATACTTAGAATATTTATGAATAATTATGTCCGAGACTTAATCATTTGATGAGGAATTAAAACTTAAAGAGTGCAGTCATAGACAACTTCACCTTGCTGCCACTGGTAGATGTGAAAGGCATCCATGCCATACCCGCAGCATGTCCACTGGGCTGCCAGCCGCCATGGCCTGATACCAGCAACAAATGTGGCCAGCGGAAATGAGTTGATGCTGGCAGCAAATTTGTAAATCTGCATCTAGCTGAATCTAGCTTTGTCCTTGCTCAAAACAAGGAAATAATATGAAATAATACCCGTAAGAAGCAGAGCACTCAAGACATTCGGTCCCTTCTTTGGCACATCTGTTTCCCAGATTGGTCTTCACCACAAGATAGATCATTGGATGATCCAATCTATACTTTACTTCGACTACAGATACTACAGTTTCAAAGTCTTCAGAGGAGCAAATGCTCTAGCCACGTGCTTTTATGCAAAAGATCAGCGGAAAGACTGTTCTATCCTGTCAAAGCACACCCCAAAGCCACTTGCATTTCAGGTGTTGTGGCCAGCGCAAAGAATTTAGCTCAAGCAAATTACTGACCTAAGCTATATTCACACGCCTTCAGCTTGGTAGAGAAGCTTAGCTGCAAGTCGGGAGAACTACTCAATACCAAGGCTCTGCACAAAAATAGGATTGACGGATCATCATGATTGTCTTCATTGAAATGTGCTGTAAAGTAAATTGTGGTACCTGATTTTACCATATTTTACCCCCATGTTTGGGATCTACCCAATTGTCACAAGTCATCCAAGAAAATTCCCCGCCTCTAAGTACTAAGCGATGAGCTCAAAATCCAGATCTGTCCAGGTCTGTGTCCGGAGGACACTGGATTGTGTGATATAGACTATAGACTATAAGACATCTATAGACAGTAGAAGTTCCTTTTTTTAAGAAAGCTCGTTTTTTGTTGTCCTTCTGCAAGCATCCACAGGTCCACAATCATCCACAAATCAATAAGCCCAAGCACGGGTGAGCTGTCATTGATCATGGCCAAATCTTTGGCAATTCCTGTTGAGTCCTGTTGATTATTCTTTTGTTTCGTCTGCTCCGGCATGACTTCTTGTGCCGGAAGCCTGTGACTTCATGATACAGCTTCAGATAGCTTCAGCATTTGGAGAGCATGTCTTGAACAGGTACTGCTCTTCCTCTACAAGACAAGACATTCAACGGCATGTGGCTTCCCATCAAACGCTTCAGCAATGCAACTGCGTTTATTGATCGTTTTTCCCAGCTAATGCTGACTCGATGAGGCCAGTTGCTCATAGCAAGCTGGCAATATGACGTGGCCAGTGGCACAAAGCACTTCTGGCTACATTCGACTCACTTCGGAGGGTTACTGGTTGAAGCCATGCAAGCCACACAGTGGATGAATATGATGAATTACCAGAATGTAATCAGCACCAAAATCAAAATCCAGTTCTAACAAGGTGCTGCTGTTGTTTCGTTGTTTAAAAACGTGGCTTCCCTCCACATCCCAGGTGTGAGGCAGTGCCTCCTTGTCAGACACCGCAGAGGCCCCTCTAAAACGTACGACTTTATGGAGTTGCGTTCCAATGTGTTCCAATTCAATAGTATTCAATGTCTGTTTTCTATTTGAAAAACATCAAAAACATGAGTCTTGGATTCATCATGTGAGAATTCTACCAGATGGCCAGAGCCACAAGCCGAGAATTCCCACTGTGGAAATGGAAAGTGTCAGCGCGGGATCGCTCCCTCGACAACTTATTCACCAAAGCATCACCTCGGAAAGTTTCAGCTTACCAGATCTCCAAATAATCAACTTTGCAGGTCCACATCATAGAAATCTTCGTGTTGACACAGCTCAATTTCTGCAGAACACTCTTCTATGGTCCCTTTGCAACACTGAAGCAAAGCTGTTCTGTCGGAACCGCCCCGCCACAGCCTAGGTGCCAAACTGGAAATTGCATTCAGCCTGCCTGTCCAAAGTAGCACGATGTCCAAAACTCGCTATGAAAGACAGAGCCTTTACATGGCAAGCTCTAGGGAAATACAGCACAAGGATCAGCCAAAAATACCATTGCCTTGATGGTCAAAGGTCTATGACCCGGTCGAACTAGTTGCCGGCCCATGTAGACTGGATGGTGCCTCTCGGAGAGGGAAGAAAAGTCACACTGTCACACTGGCCTTTGGCATTGTTTGGTATGTTTTCTCGGTGTTTGCTCATGTGACTCAAGTATCAGAAAGACTGAACTGGGGATGGGTCAATACATCTGATACCATATTCGGTTGCAGCAACTCTTTATGAGCAATTTTCTGTCCATCATCAGGGTTTTTGACCCGTCCCAAATGACAAGTGCTCACTCGACTCGACTCTTCAGTCCTCTCAATGGCGAGGGCCAGGTTCTCAGCATGCCAATCCAGAGGTACATGGACATCCTCCGGCCTGCAAGCTGGTACATGATGGCAGAATATGGCAGGTGCAGGATATCCAACTCGCTTCCAAAAGGTCTGCAGCACTTGGCCTGGCATCAGAGGACCTCAACGACTCAGCACTGTCTACGCACATGCCGTTATCCCGTTCTGGCCAGCGAGCTCATTCATCTTCTGTTTAAAGTTCAATCATCAAACATTTCGTGCGCGTGGGACAAAAGGGTTGCCTTGAAAGCTGAGGCCCTAGACAGCTGCCAAGTGAAGTCATCAGTCAGATCTTTCCACTGCCTGGACAAAATGAGATGCACTTGCAGCCTACTCAGCGCTCTTTATCTGTTCTTTTGACTTCTGAATATCTGCTTTGGGTGACTTTAGTCCAATGCAACGGGCTCGACCGATTCTTGGTGCTCTTGGGGCACCTGATGGTATTTTCGGCGAGCTCACCTTTTCCCACCAGGATTCGGCACCTGAAAACGGAAACAGCACAGGCTGAAGCGGCTGAAGCTCTATGAGAATCTCTCAATGAGAAACTCATAGCGCACAGGATGCGTTCCAGCCGTGCTAGCATTGTTTTGAATATGTCTGTGTTTGCCTCTGAATGTGTCTGTGTATGCAAACGACTGTTGGCAAGTATGAAGATGCATGCATAGATACATACGTTGGTACATCGATAGCACAAGGAGGGGTGTATCTATTAAAAAGGCTAAAAAGCGAGCAAAGAAGCGGGTGAATTTGTTCATGTATGCAGGCAAGAGTGCATACATGTCTGGGTGCATGACTGTCTGCAGGCACATAGGCAGGTGGTTGCATAGTTAAGTGTTTGACAACACGTCGTTTCACAACACACTGTGAAGCAATAGGATTTCATGCGATGGAACATATTGTAATCTGACACACGAGAAGGCAGGAATCAGAAGACTCCTTCTCACAATTGTATAAACGGCCGGAACTGCATAAGCGTTCGAAAGTTTCTACAAGCCTTACCATTTTCGTGCTCTACCGCATAAACACTAAGATTACATAGTTCATCAATGTTCATCGCATATCTGTGTTGTTCGATTGGCAAACGTATCATCTCCACAAAACACACGTCGTGTACTGCATGAATGCAGGAGGTTCAGTCAAACCGATGCTGTGTGGGGCTACAGTATCAACTCAGATAGTGAATCTGTACATTAACTCAAATCATGAAACAAAAGAAGCAATAAATGCATTAATGACAAATGGGTCTGCGCAACACATAAAAATATACAAAGTTTTTGCACTCTAAAGCCGTTGAGGTGAAGTCGTGCGAAGTACGAATGAGAACAGAAGCCATGGAAGAGAAGCTAGCACAAATAGACCGAGTCTCTGAAAGACTGAAAGACTGATTGAAGCGAAGAGTGAAACAAGAAAGTGGTACAGAATCATTCTAGTCCCGAATTTGAAGATGTAGTACCATTCCATCTCAGGGCAAGCATATCCATATAAAACACACCAGATGTGAGTGAGTAGTGTGTTACTGCATTTGTCCATTGCCAGATGGTTTTAAATTTTGGCAACCCCACCCGTAATCACGTAGATCCTTGGCTGTACATCGCAGCTTCTCCTCACAGTTTTCAGAAGTTGAAGTTGAAGTTGAAGCCTTGATTCACTCGAAAAGGGTCTAGAGTTTGGAGCAGTCTAGGATCTTATGTCATAAGTTATGACAGTTATGAGTTATGAGCAGTTCTTTGATGTCTTTCCCTCTTCGTACCATCAGCGTCCTGCAGCGCGGCCATGATCTCTTTCCCCTGCTGTCCCTCTCTGATCGGCAACAAAAACGGGTGTCCATAGGCACCCACCATGGGATTGGGATCCATGGTGAACACCTGCGAACGGAAATCGTGGTAGGCTTGAAAAAGCAGGACCCCAATTTATAACGCAGAAAAACTGTCAAAAAATGGTCAAATGTTGTAGTATAGTTAAAGGGACCACAAATCTGGCGGTTCCCAATGTTTTGGACATGGAACCTCCACCAATTGACAACGCGTCAAGTTCTCAGGAAGATCACTTTCCACGGCAGGATCTGGCTCTACCTGGCTCAGTCAATGGTTTGACGGGAAATTTAAGGTGAAAATGGTGAAACCAAGACGTGTATCTGTGGGGGTTGCTATGGCATCTCTGGCATCTATGGCATCTATGGCGCAGACCCGCAAGGCACTGTAGAGAAAGGTTGGTGACTGCGTCGCATCGTCTGCCTTTGCCTAGTCAAACTGTGTCTTTTTTAAATCCGTGTTCAAACTCCAGATGTTGTGTGTCTTGCACAGCTGAATTTCTTGAACTAAAAAGACTATACACAAGCCCAGAGCGTGGACTTGCAAAAGAGACAGAACTTGCTAATATTATTACCAACAAAGGTGATTCATGGATGCGCAAAACGACTTGAAACCAAACAAAAATGAAATCTTGGGCTCATGCCAACCATAGCAGCAACTCGCCCCCTCGACCTCAAAAGTAATGGGCAAGCATTGAAGCGCAGATCTGGTTCCAGCTGGAATTGTGTGCAACAGAATCGCGAGCTGTGTCATTCGTCTGTATATTGACCCAACTGGGCAACTTGGGTCACCACTTGTATTCGACCTGACGTAGAAGACAAAGCTGAGTAAACAAATGGACCAAAGAATCCACAACCAAATGCTATTTCCAGCAAAAGGTCTTCTCTATTTCACTGTCTCCGTGCCCCCATGAAAAATGTCAATTCCCAAGATCGAATAGCGGGATTTTTTGTCCCCCACACTGCATCGATCCAGATTGCTTTGCACGGGAAAGCGTCCAAAAAGGCTGTGGCTTGCGACGCTGAAAATGCATTCGACTCATGTAGCAGCACAGCCAGTGGCCGTTTCCCGGCAGTTGCAGCGATCTGCTGACAAACCATCTACCAGGGCCAATGAGTGAAAGCATGACTTAAGATTAGACGAAAGCATCTTGTCAAAAGATATCTTCACTCACACGCAAACCCTTGCAAGCATTGTTGCAAGCTAGAAGTGAGACTGTCAGAAAGAGCCTGCAAACTTCAGACCGCTGGAATATATTATGTCCATATAATATTATATATATATAAAGGCACTTAAAGCATCTCTTTCTCACACGAACAGCTCATCACATGGACAAATGAGATGTCTATGTATATATATATGATGTGTATAATATATATATATATGATAAATATAATATATATATATATATGATATATAATATATAATATATATATATGTGATATATATATATATATGTGGTATATATATATATGATATATATATATATGAAATATATATATATATATGAAATATATATATATATATGATATATATGATATATATGCAAGTATAGTGCAGGGTCAGGGACAAGGTGAAGAGTTATCCACTTTATCAACTTCATCAGCCAGCGTTTGCAAACTTTCTGACACCAGCCAAGAACCGGGGTGAAAATTTGTGTCCGCTACGGAGCTGTCAACTCTGAGCCTGGCCGCCAGTGAGCAAAATGCCATGTCTGCCAGCTGAACTTGCCATGAGCACCGCCTCCTGGGACACTTGTTCTCCAGAGTCCTTGCGTTCACGTTGTAGCCGCTGTCAATGGACTGTTTTGAGGGTAAATCTGAAAACGATGGTGATTCATGGTCTTTCTCAAATATAGGGTTTCCATGGGTTTCTTGACAATTTTCCCGTCGACTAATTTCTGGGACGCTGGTAGCTGCTGGCGGCCGGTATCACATGATCACATGCAACTCTTCCGTTCCTCATCAGCACGGCCCTTGCTGCCCTCGGTCTCTGGCCTTTCCGCAGGTAGCTTCAGAGAACTATGGATCAAAAATTGGGTGCCAATGGACCCACACATAGCTGGTGATGGTTTTTTTACGCAGCCAGTTTTCGGGAAGCAATTCCTACCTTGGCTCAGAACGTCCGGCAGAGGCCTCTCAGCACAACGGTCAGCCCATGAAATAAGTGTGCCGGTTGATGAACAAAGTGCAATCAGTGCAATCTCTGGCGAAATGCAAATCCATCAGTATCACCCTAAGTGTCTTGCCTCAAGCTCACCTGACAAGATTTCAACATCCACACAGGTCTCTTGAATCTGTACATGAAAACGATGAAAACCAACCACGCAATTGGCCTTGCTCGCCATCACGGCGCGTCCGGCCTTAAGCAGTCTAATGAAAGTTCTTGAGCTTTGTCCATCATGAAAACCTCCATTTATAATCATTTAGTTCGGGGATTTCCCATTGCCATGTTTGATTGCCCGGATGATGTGGTCGTTGTCCTAAGCTCCCAGTTGTGTCGAATTTGGGCTGCCGGACCTAGTTTTAAGGCAGGTGGCCGCAGGCCAGGCAGACCCAGTTTCTTAGCACCTGAGGATGGCCCCGCAATGCTCTGGCAATGGCAATTCAGCAGACTGAGAGACTTCTTCACTCTTCACGAAGCAGAAAGGAATCCACAAAAAGCTGCAAGTTCCTCAAAGAAAAATGATAATCTTTGGAAGCAGCATGGAGCAGCATGAAGAATACGATGCTAATCTCTGGTATCAGAGTCCGAACCAGTTTTTCTTCGACAGCTCAATGATATGTTGCATCTCTGTTACTGGGTCTCCCTGCTGCTGCTTTTGGAAGTTGGGTCGGTGTCCAAAAGATCCACAGTGATGCCACTTGTTGAAGTTACACCTTCCAATTGGATGGTCAAAAAGCAGAGCTTCAACCATTTACCCAAGACATAATGAATATTCATTACATCTTATCATTATTGCAATGAGAATCATTATCATTATCATTGTATATCATTATAATTGTATTATATATATATATATGAGTATACATCATTGTCATTATTTTTTTACTTATATACCATGACCCTACCAATCCCAGGTACAGCTCCTCCTTACAGGCTTGGATCGGAGCCTTGTGGAGCCTCCAGCTCGTAGTCCTGGGCCTATGGAGTAACATCATAACATCGACAATAACATGTCTAGCATTTCTGCTGTAAATATACCACATGTTTCTATGACAGTCTAAGCCAGTGGACACTTTCAATGAGCACGTGCTGCTTGTATCTCTTGGAAAAGTTGTTCGAGGCATCCATCATGATGTCTCGAGGACCTCGCGCCAGCGTCGGTTCGATCTCCTTTAGATGGATGGTGGGGAAAAGAAAAGGAAAACCAGAGAAACTGAGTCAGATTCACTCAAAACATCTCAAGACTAGCTATGACTAGCTCATCTTGTAAGATTTGTAAGTGGTGCCCCTGTCCGAACTCATCACATCTCATCACCACGTCACTGGGCATCGTACAGAAAGCTGTCTTGGCATTCTGCACCACACTTGTTCGCCCTGGCCAGGGATGGGTCACCAACAGTGGCTTCCTTGTATTTCCAGCCTTCCAGCTGCTGATTTGGGATGATTTGGGTCTACACACTGGGGCCTTGCCGAATTGTATCACTTCCGTCATTGTATTCGGCACCTGGCTCTGAGCTTGGGCTGACATCTGTAGAGCCATCCTGGTCCAAGAGAGCCATGGATCTCAAGTTTCATTTCTGGAAAAGCACACAGTGGTGCTATCCCGCAATCTTCAGCACGATAGCATAGCAATCTTTGCAGGTGTGTCCAGGGCGTCCTTCCGCTCGGGTGAAGTGGCTGCTGTTGAAGGCAGTTTACCTTGTGGAAACCAAGCAGCGATGAGTGATGCTCGCCTACTTTGGCTGATTTCTGGCACACCTTTCACACCCGCCTTGCCTCTGTCCTTTGACCCATCAAGGTCAATCAGGTCTGTTGGGCCTCAAGAAATTTTATTCAATCCAAAGCTTCCAGAAGGAAAGAATGAAAGCTGCAGAAGCTTCCTTTTCAAAACTTCACCAGCCTTTTCCCTGTGCAGGTGCTCCTTGACCTATTCTGAATTCTCTCCTTGGGACCAGAAGAAGCGCGCAGAAAAGACACGAGTTTTTCAAGTCAAAAGTCAAAAGTGTTGCCTCAAAAATGGGTATCAATACACAAACCGACAGAATTTAAGTCATTCCGGTTATTGAACCGTCTGAGCTATAAATTGAGCGAAATTATTGAACCTTCTGAGCTTTTTTTATTGAGCCAATCCCAAATGACTTCAAAAATCATCAAACTTTTCGGACCGTTACATCCTCCCATGACTCCTGGTTGTGTTACCGCCTGGTTATGCGGTAGGCGACTGCCATATCTCTGAGCTTAGATCCATGAGAATGCGAGATTCATGAGAATTCCGAAGAAGATCATCTCAAGCGACAAGATGAAGTCCTGGCAACATGGCAACCCAGGACTTTTTCTTGGAGTCTCCAAGCGTTGTGATGCCGTATGCAACGGCTTAGGGCTTAGATGGGCTTAGACTCTGGGAGTCTAAGGCTGATCATGCTCCGTCCATTATTGCCATGTGCGTTTCCCTCCGTTTCCCTCTCCTCCCATTTCGACTTGCTGCCCGGCAGGGGTGCCAGCGGACTCAAGCGAAAAAATGGCAAACAAAAAAATGTCGCAAGACTGCTGAGAAGATTCAACGGATTCACGCCGTTCACGCCTTCAAAATGAATTGATAGTCAGATCTGTCTAAGGATATCACAGCAAAAGCGCTTGCCAAAAGGTCAGAAAGACAATCATCTTCACGCCTAAGTGGGTCGTCAGTTCCGACATGTTAAGGTTTGCAATGTTTGTCCAAATTGTTTTAGTACAGGGTACTCCTTGGGCTCCATGCTAACAAATTTCAACAAAGGTCTTTTGGATTGCAGGGCCTCCCAGGATGTCTTGTCCATCTTGTCCCATGTAAGTTCTGATGCGTTGCAAGGCTTCAACTCACACTGTTCATGGCAGCTGGCCTCTTGCTCGTGAGAGGACCAGTAGATCAAATACAGAGCCTAGCTGCCAGAGAACAAGACATAAAATGAATTAAAGATTACACAAAGACATCAAAAACATCCCAAAATGTTTTTTGTGGGAGTTATTGAGTCCACGGCGTAGAGCGCTACACTGTACGAGATGTTGTAGATCACAAAGAGAGTCCACTGGTAGTACCAGTTCTGAGCCGTCGCAATGGCTTCAATCTCGAAAAGTATTGGGATCAGCATGCTATCAATATTGGGATGGAAATAAATAAAAGAAACTATATTTCAAACCGCCAGTTTTGATGCGCTGTATGGCTGCCAGGGTACGTGAAGCTGACCGCAAGCATACACAATGATGGAGATCACAGCCACCACAGGTTTCACTGCTACAAACCTGCAAAAAACGCGGAAAATCTCATGAAATCTCATGAAAGCAAGGCCAAAAGGCCACGAAAATCACCAAAACCATTTCAACATATTTCAGCTGAGCATCTGCAAAGCCCCCATCTTTGGCACGCGGATCATGGATCCGGTGGCAATCGGTGGAAGGCCTTGACAGCAACAAGACAAATCACGACCAGATGTACAAGCAGCGGAGTGTACATCTTCTAGGATGTCTGGAACCTACTGTAGCTGTTAAAAACCTGAAGCCGAGTCATAATTTCTGAGGGTCCAGCACAGGCTAAGCGGAAACAAATGTGGCACGGCCTGTCGCGGATAATGCACTTGCCCAAATTACACATTCCAAAAGCCAATTGAAAGAGTCTACTACTAGACCGGTGGGAGTATCCCCAGCTTTGGGAATGGTGTCCCAGCCCCAAAAGCGCGCCTCGTCATTTTGCGAGATGCTGTGCAGACAAAGGTGCTCGCCACCCATGTACTCAATGATCTGGCACAAGCTTTGCAAATGCCAGGTCGAGTGTCAGTTCAAGCTGAACGAGAAAACTGTATACCTGTGCGTTTTTGTGGCACCAGTAGAGCGGGTCATTCTTGCGTGGTGGATGCCTGGTTCGAAGGGTTTGCAATACAATTACTGTAATCCACCGGCTCTTGAATTTAAAAGGGCTACCTTGCCCAGTGATTACTGTAAACCCAAGTTCGAACCTCTTTTGGTGATGACCACGCACGAGCAATCTCTTGCCGTTGACTGTTGTTATCCAACGAGTAAAAAAAAATGCAGATCTCTAATCTGTGTGAAGTCACACTATAATAGCTTACATCAGGAGACAAGGATGATCCAACTTCAATGTATTATCGTTTTCAAGATATTGCATCGTCCTGATCTGAGAAACATTTGGTGTGCGATTGATTTCCTTGTACCAGAGTGGCCCAAGCGCAGATCTTACCAGTGACTTTACTGTTGTGTTTTGACGTAGCTTTGCACCTACCAATTCCCCTCACCCTGCAATTTTAGGTTCGATTCCTGCAAAATGTTTGCATTTTTTTCGAGTGAACGCACCATGCTTTGCCTTGCGCTGGATTCCAAGTCTTGTTGACAAAGGAAGCACTTTTACAGCCAAAGTCCAAGCCAGTGATGCCAGTGTCAGGAAGGAGTAGATAACTACAGCCTCCCAAATATCTCGCACCTCGATTGATCTGGAAATATCCGGCTGGCTGCTCTGATCGACCCTGGGACCCTGGGACCCTGGAACTCCAACTAAGCTTGCGGCTGATCGAATGAAAAAGCAAGTACTTTCATGCATAGAAAGACAAAGCCTGAAAACATGAAGCAAGGGAGACGACTCTCCAGTCAAAAGCTACTTTGGATGAGTGGTCTTCCGTTACTGTCATAGTTTGTCATATATAGGCATACTATGTATATATATATATATATGTTTAATCCTATGTGTATATATATACTTATCCATATGTGCATATATATATATATTATGATATGGATATGTCTCAAAGTTCATCCCCAGAGTTCATCATCTTCACCATAGAAGTCATTTTAAGGTCTCTCCCATTGACCAATCCACGTCTCAGATGTCTCAGAGTCCAGCGATGCGCTAAAGGCATAGATGGGGCCCACCAGAATGATGCGAAGCCTGGGACTGGTTAATTGGTTGCAGGTGCAGAACAGATACAATTCCAATCAATTCAACATACAAGCATCGAAGCCAAAAAAAAAGGCCATCGACCAAAAAGTGTCAACATGCACCGGAAGCCCCCGGACCCCCTGTATCAATGTTGCTTATCATCACTTCTCAATGGCCGGAGCAAGAATGGCTGTTTTTTTTTTGAAGGCTCCACCAAGCGCTGCTTTCACACAACATTGAAATTGGGGGACCAGGGGTGTCTAACTCCTCGCTAGAGTTCAAGTTGGTTGGCTGTTCTTTTTTGAAGAACCCGGTATGTTGTAAATATTTGTGAATCATGTACATCATGTTCTATGTTCTAAGAACTCGAGTCGTTCTTCCTAGCACTGCAAACTTGACAGAAACAACTACTGAATGGACGTAGCGCCAACAGGATACAGATCTTCACAATGGCCATGATGTGCTCACGTGATCTCACGTGAGGCTCAGGTCTTTACACATGAGGCTGCAAGTCGGGCCGGGTAAAGTTCAAGAGGTGGCGGTAGGCGTTGTTGCATGTGCTCAGACCTGCAGTGGGTGCTTGATAAAAGGTAGAAACGGACTGGTGCAGCATGCAAAATAGTGCCTCTCTAAAGTGCTCCCTACTTTTAGACCACTTCACAAGGCAACCAGTTCTGTTTATGTCATACAAACACCATATGTTCCATGCTTAGCCTCGGTTTGGCGGAAAGAAATGCAAGAGTTTGTGACTCGCTTCACCGACTGTGGCTCGCACCCACCATCGTGAAGCCAAGCCATGCAGTGACCACTGGCCATACCCTGAGCGACATCCCCGCCCGGGGAAAAAATGTGGAACCGGAAAGACCCCATGTCCGTGGTCCTCGACATGAGTCTTTTCTGAACATTTTTCTGAACATTTTTCTGAACATTTCAGATCTTTCAGATTCGTCAGGAAATGTCGAAATATGTCGAAATATGTCGAAATGTCGATCTGAATCCGTCACATTGTGCTCTTGCAGATCTTTTGGGACGGGATAGTCTCTCGCCAAAGCTTCGGACCCTGAGATGAAGCAGTCAGAGGAACAGCCCTTGGTTCAATCGGTTCCATCAGTTTGAGGCACAACCATCTCCCAATTCTCACAATGTGCAAGGCAAGGTGAGCTGCCAAAGCTCTCAAGGGCCGGTCTGAGGATGGAACATTTGATTCCATCTCCGCTCCACTGCTACATTAGTTGTAGTGAACTTCCCATGGATCCAGATCAAACATGAACGTCGTAACGTCAACTGGGCTGAAGCTGCCAAGCGATCGAAGCGATCTAAGCGATCTAAGCGATCTCAAGGCTTAAAATCGATTGAATTCTATTGAAAAGGTCGGAAAAAACAGGAGCTCCTCACGGTGCGCATGGTTTCGCTATTCAAGCTACAAGGATGTAAGGGATGTACATGGCTTCACGGGTTTCACAGCTCAATTCGTAGCATGTTGCGAAGGATAATCTTGTAAAGCCAAGGCCTTCATGGCATGTTCCAAGTGCCTGGACTTAGACTTGTGCCAGCAATTTCTGTATGACGCTTGAGCCGAAGGTGAACGAGCAATAATAGCAAGTCATTGAACCGATGTCAGTTAAAAAAGGATTTGGCAAGTGTTTACCCGCTATACCCGATCTGTGATCTAAGTGCTTCCGAAAGGCATCAAAATTCCAGTGACTCCGGCGGCATCGAAAACCATTTGTAGAGAAACCGTTGATGTAAAGTTCTCTTCAAGTTAAAGTCAGTTCTTTGCTAGGTTGGCATTGGAATTAAACCTCTGGCTATCCCTCAGCTCCGGCCTCTCCCGGTAGACTTTGGTGATCTGACCGTTAAAGGCCTGTTACTATGAGGCGCCGCACACTGAAAGAGCGGAATGGATCAGATGCAAATTGTGCCTCCAGCAACCTCAATGGCTCCTGACATACTGAAGCCGCCATTAGCAAGGGCATTGAAAACAGTTGCATTTTGCCTGAAATTGGGGACACCCGAAATTGGATATTTTGAGGGGACAATGATAGCAAGCCATAGGACTTGCATTTCTGGACAAGCCAATTACCATCATTTACCAATGTTCAAGCTGTACAAATTCTTGTGGCGCCATTGCCAGCCATGGGATGGGAAGGTGCTGCATTTCCCGTCAGCTGGCCCTCTGCAAATTCTGCAATCTGATAGCCCATTTTGGTGAAACGACGAGCTTAACAGAACAAGTCTGAATTCAAAACACACTTCCAGCTGCCTTTCAAATGCAACGGATGTACTACCCTTACTTCCAAGAGTAAAAAGTTCCATGTGCGGGTCCTTTTCCCGGAGCCCCATGCGTTGCCTGCAACGAATGCACTGCCATCTTTTGCCAACGGTGCTTCTTACAAACATCGTTGAACTACTCCAAATGCTGCTCTGTCGGAGTCTCAAAACAACACCTGCCTCACTTCTTGAGCAGAGTCCTCCAGGTGTTGCCTGCTTGTAGTCTGCTGTCCGGATTAGCCACCGACACTTTTCAGTGCATCGTGAATGCGTCCATGTTCAAAGCAGAACATCATGCAACAGTCCATAAACTTACACTTTACTCATCCCGACCTTGCCAGAGCCAATATCTTTTTTGGGTCCACCGCAATGATGCCTCGGATCGCATCAAAGGGCCCGGGGCCACTGAGCAGGATGGAGTCAGCAAAGTAACAGCCACAATGCACCTGCAAATAGGATCCTTTCCCCTGTATCGTTCTCCCCATCTATGTTCTGCAACGCAATACTTTTCAAGGGCAAGCATTGGCAAGAAAAGACAGCGCGGTCATCGTCGTCGTCGTCAACTGAGGCCGGATCTTTTCAGTTGTTTGCCTCCGTTCTGGGGTTGCTCCAGTAGAGCCTGCCGTTGCGGGATCCCCCAGATCGCCATGGATGGAAGCAACAAAACATGGACTCCTCCTCGGTGACAGAGAGGAGGGTGGCACCAGCCTACAAGGTGAGCTCGAACCGTACCCCTTCAGTTTAAGATACACGAACTTACAACAAACAGACTTGAACGGAATTTTTGCGACGTGGGAAAGAACTTTCAAGTGCTGCACGGTGCTCTGATTCTGACTACCAAGGAGTGGTAGTCTGGTATCATATGGAGGAAATTTGGGAACCTGACCTGATACACCCTCTCACATCAAATGGTAAAACAGCCGTCAAGTTCTGGGATTCTGGAAACCTGTTGCATGTGAAGCTCACGGCCGGAAGGGTGGCGATCACAATTACATTGATATCACGATCAGTGTGATACAAAGGTTGCACAGGATGCAGCGATGCGCCTCACGTCCGTCAGTGTCAAAGAAATGCAATGCGATGTTGTGCTGACCCTCGGGTGGATCTGGCAACACGACCTGACGGCAGAGGACGACGCACCTGCAGAAGGAAACAGCAAACTCGTCAGTGAAAGTTGCTGGGCAGGCCCACCACATACACACTGCGCTTTGGTATGTTCCGACCCCACCTCAGTATCAAGCAAAATCAACTGTCATATCCCCAAACAAAACAATATGAGGCATGTTGTGTCCCAATTCACGCAGGAACTTGGGGCTTAAGCCCCATCTGCTGCAAGGTGGCAAAAGGCTCCGAGTCCTGAAAGTCACAATCAAAATTGGGGTGCCAATGGACCTGACATGCTTTGTTGAGGCCTCCATATTTGGGAAGTCATTTTGAGGCATACCCATCCCACCAACACTCAGCCATCTCCTTGCTATGATAGAGAGGCGCGCAACGGGAAGCATTGGGAGCACCACCGTCAAAGAGCCAAAGGCGCTTCCCAGAATTTTCAGCTAGCACCTGCACTCTCAGAAGATCCAAGAACACTGAGAGTCACAAATCTGCTTCTGTTCACTTCTGTTCGATTCATCCAACTTCCTGCACATGAAAGAAATCAAACGAGTCCTGCTACAATACTGATGCCGTTGGATCAGCATCAAGAATTGATCGCTTCAAAAGTGCTGAGGGGTGCAATCATGACCTACAATAAAACGATATAAAACGCGATAGCTGAAATAGACTGACACCTGAAACCTGTGTGGCATGATTTCTGTGCACCTTTGGGCATGGCTCAAAGCTGGGATACCATAATAGACTCAAAATTGGCGATGCTCTGCAGACTCTGCAAAAAAAAAATGGTTTACCTGAAAATAGGTTAACCCAAAAATCCAATGGTGTGAACTCGGTGTATCGAATGGTGTCTTTGTCCGACGATAGCCACCCTACGGGAAATCCCATGGCATCAGGTGCCCTTGATATTCCCCACCTCCTCCACGCCAAGGGCCTGCATCTGGGGAACTCTCGGGTACCCTCCCTGTGGGTGGTTATTGAATTTTGACCCCAACAAATGGCAAAGAGTTTGGTCGACTCAGCGCTCTGAGTTTTAAAAAAATGTCAGCTTTCAACACAGCTTTTCTCAGCTTGTTGCATGGACTTCTACTTATTGAATTTTGGGCTCTGAAATACTCTCCATCTTGTCTTCGTATATTCATCATCAAACAGCTCCAATATCATCCATGGAATCCATGGCCAGACCGTGTCTCCTTGTCCCCTTCCCCAACCTTCGCCACGCTGCTTCCCAATTGATCTGTTCGCCATCTGGCATCGACGGTCATCTCGAGGCACTTGACCTGCACAAAAAAACCGCTGGGAGGGTATACAGATATACGTGTATATATGACTCATATATATATAGGTATATATATATACCTATGTATATATGTATATATAATCCCTTGCCCCTACTAAACGTGCCTCAAATACTAAAAACTATAGGGTCCATTTCCACTTTTGGTAAATTCCAAGTCGGTCAGTTTGCGTTTCAATTCATCCCCTTTTGAAAACAGTTGGAGGGTTTCACCCCTTAACAATAAAAGCTAGTTCACCCTCGGGTGTTTCTTTATTAGGATCCATCCTTCAAAATCGAAAATATTAGTTTATAATTGAGATGTTTAATTCAATATTAGGGGAAAGCTTCGAAATCCGATTTTGGGCAACGATATATTTATGATTTGAAAAGGAACTTGATCGTTTTTGAAATCGATGTTTTTTTCATTTAGGTTGTGTATTCAATGTTAGGGGAAAGCTTCAAAATCCAATATTTGGCAATATGTTAATTAGATGTTGAAAGGAATTTGATCGATTTTGAAATCGAAAATGTTAGGCTCCTTTTTTGAGGTTTAAAATGTAATATTAGGGGACAGCTTCGCACCCTAATACTAAATACCGCCCTAGTACTACAACTACTCCAGGTGTTTATTATTAGGGGGGAAGGTTTAGTATCAGGGGGAAAGAATTATATATATATATAACACAATTATATATATATAATTATATATATATAATTATATATATAATTATATATATAATTATATATATATACACACATGTGCATAACTATATGCAGCTGCAGTTTATATGTCTACGTACGCATGCATAGATTTGTGGTGCTGCTCAGATTCATCTCAGAACCAGCTCTGAGTCCATTCCCGCCTGCCCAGGAACCTCCATGGCCAATTCACCTAAGCACCACGAAGTTCGCTTCGCATCGCTGACCGCACCAGACCATCACCTCAACCGACGCTTAGGCCAGCACGTGAATCCTGGCAGAAGCGCTGGGGAATGCCATACTGGTCGGTATGAGTAATGCAAAAAGCATTCTGTCGCCACAAGACCCTGATTTGAGTCTTCGCCGCTTCACCTCTTCCGTGCGCTGTAATAAAGAGCGCATGCTTGGCCTTGGAGAAAGGACTCATCCAACAGTGCAGATGTTTGCCCGCGAGGTTTTGAGCTGCCAGCTGCCCAATCTCCATGTGGCTGTGAATACCATCTGGCATGAAAGGTGCCTGACACTTGATGTGGGAATCTCAACAGGATCGTAGAAATTCATGTGGTAAACCCAAGAAATTTTGCCATCCATACTCATCCCAAAAATTGCCATTTTTACGCGCGGTGTAAACCTTTCCCCAATCATAGGTTTATTATTGGGTTTACCACAACGGTTCTTGCCGAATGTTGGCACAAGGAAGTACCCACCTCTGCACTCATATGGCGAACGATTATTGAGATGTGATTCCTGAAATCGCGGCTGGCCAGTGCAGCAGCTCTCACAAGAAAAATGCATTGCAATCAAAGACTCTTGGAAGGGGTCTTGTTTTCTCACTGCATTCAGTGTGCGAATCTGATACTTTGTCTATGAGTGTCTTTTTAGCTTAAAACGTGTCTTTCAAAGCATCTCAAGTCTAAAATGCGGCCAAGACACATGCAACTTTCCGCGTAATCTCGCACATTTGTGCAAATCATTGGATCCTTAATCATGTGCAAATCGCTGGATGTGGAAAAAACTTGGCAGCTCAAGCCTTCCGGAAAACGAGGCACCATGGATCGGCACTTCCAGAAATGTAGCCACTTGAAACTGAACAGTATCTCAGTATAACAAAATCATGTTAATGGTATATCAATGGTATATGAATGGTATATCAATGGCTAATTTCCAAGGTTCAATCTGCTCCTTGAAGATTGGAAATTCCAAGGATTAATGGTATATCAATGGTATATGAATGGTATATCAATGGCTAATTTCCAAGGTTCAATCTGCTCCTTGAAGATTGGAAATTCCAAGGATTAATGGTATATCAATGGTATATGAATGGTATATCAATGGCTAATTTCCAAGGTTCAATCTGCTCCTTGAAGATTGGAAATTCCAAGGATTAATGGTATATCAATGGTATATGAATGGTATATCAATGGCTAATTTCCAAGGTTCAATCTGCTCCTTGAAGATTGGAAATTCCAAGGATTAATGGTATATCAATGGTATATGAATGGTATATCAATGGCTAATTTCCAAGGTTCAATCTGCTCCTTGAAGATTGGAAATTCCAAGGATTAATGGTATATCAATGGTATATGAATGGTATATCAATGGCTAATTTCCAAGGTTCAATCTGCTCCTTGAAGATTGGAAATTCCAAGGATTAATGGTATATCAATGGTATATGAATGGTATATCAATGGCTAATTTCCAAGGTTCAATCTGCTCCTTGAAGATTGGAAATTCCAAGGATTAATGGTATATCAATGGTATATGAATGGTATATCAATGGCTAATTTCCAAGGTTCAATCTGCTCCTTGAAGATTGGAAATTCCAAGGATTAATGGTATATCAATGGTATATCAACAGCATATCAGGCTGTATCCGGTCTCTGAGAGCCTTGCTCCGTCCTCAGGCGCCTCGCTGGCACCTGGGGTCAGCAACTGCCATCCATGGATGCTTTGTATAAGCCTCTGTTTGGTTATGGTTTTTAGATGTTTTATATGGTTTCTTATATATATAGTTTATATAGTTAATATAGTTGTATTTGTTTGTCATATTGTATATAGTTTTATACTATTGTTTATAATAAATATATATATATATTGTTTTATAGGTTTTTGTATAGTTATCAAATGAATTTCATATCCCACTAAAGGTAAACTGGGGTTAACAGGGTATGGTGGCCTCAGCCTCAGGGTTTACCACGTTGACATTCGAAGTTTCCAAAAGCACCACACCTGGACGTCGTGGCCCTGCTGTCGTCTGCGGTTGCCAAATCACCACGTCCCCACAGTACCTCTAATGGTGACAAATTGATAAATGGGATTTGATAGCATTGAATGGGATTTAATGGGATTTATATATATAATGGGATTTACTGGGCTTTAACGGGATTCTATGGTATAAAAAGGGATTTTACGGGGAATACAACGGGAAGATCACCAACAATTGTTTTTATGGGTCTGTTTGAAAATGGGGTATACGACGGTATAATTCCAATATGGTAAGTTCATAAGGAAAATTCTGTAAACCATCCTTGGGGGCTAGCCTATTTTCAGACAGCAGTGCTAATGCTGACCTGGATTGGCTTTGCAGTGCCTGACTAGTGAGACAATAAAATACATGGTGTACTATTATGATATAAATCCAGTAGAAATACTATCAGTGAGATCATTATTTCTAATTACTACTGATGGTAATAGAGAGATGAGAGCAATGATGATGGCGAATATTACATTCGCAATGATAATAGCATCAGTGATGGAAATGATAAAAATAATATGCGAGCCAACAAAACAATGAAGCAGTGCAGTCACAAAAGACTGGAGAGCCATGGTAACCATGCCATGGTACTGGCCCTTCCTGGGATCCCCGGGGCACAGGCCCTCCTCTTTCATTGACTTCTCAATGTCCCGTGCCTTGATTTCCTGTCGGACACCCAGACGTTTGCCGATCCGCTTGTCATAGACTCGACACGCCCTTTCCCTAGCGGCTCTAGCGGCTCTAGCGACCCCAGCGCTCGAAACGATGGCACCGCGCCTTGGGTGTCCTATTGAATTCCTCCCAGCATTGCCAGATTGTGTTGGCAGGTGGGGCGGCCACCTGAAGCTCGACGAACTCCCAAAAACCGACGCCACGCAACCGACCAACACTGCACCGAGGGCAATCGGCCCCGCCTCCCCTTGCTGTACAAAAATTTGCAGGCGCTGTGAAAGCCATGAATCCTCTGCATCAAGCATCACCTGAAGAAAATGGCACAAATAGCAAAAAGATACAGTATGTGACATTGTTTTTTCGAGCTTGATATTGATAAGATACCATCAAGCTGACTTTGTCTGACATTGCACTTTGCACCTTCAAGGGATCAGCTAGCTGCGCATAGTAGCAACCTGATGTAGAGCACTTTTGAATTCAAGACCTGACCAACCTTTGTCACCTCGGTCTCTTTCTTACTTGATCAAGATAAACAGCAGTCCTTGCAAAACAGTGGGGCGCATGCCACAAACTTGAACAGCGCGCTTATTTGAAATCTCAGCCATTGAGTCTGCGGCCCAAGGTTACAATAACCTGCTTCACGGGGCAAAAATACCTTTCGGCAAGCAAAAGTTTCCTTGTCAGACGCATGTTGTTTCGGACCTCAAAGCTTTAGCAGCACCATGACAGCTCACAGCAGGGCACTTGACAACCAGCATTATCAGCTCCTCCGTCCACTCAGCAAGATCATGAAACACCTCAAAGAAATTCAAAGAAAGCATGACTTGATGTGACCAATATGTGACCATGTTTTTCTCATTCCTTCCAGGACTTTCCAGTTGACAAGGAAGTCTTGCTGATGGCATTTTCTTGTGGTCTCCGTGGGAAAGAAGTCAAGGGCAGCACTACATCTTGCTCAGTCCCCGGGACAAGCGTAAGAGGGTCATATCCTCAGCCGAAGTCAGTCATGAATCGGAAACACAAGCTGCGCATGGACTCAAAACAGAAGTAAGCCACTGGCCCTGAGAAACCATCACCAATATGGACATCTGAGGTTCCTTACGACAGAAAGAAAAGAAAAATGAAAGAAAGAAATTTTCAGCAGGGAAGGTGTGCTTTTGTGCTCTGGTCCGATTGGACGTGTAGGGTCTCTCTGCTTCACTGCATTAGGAAGAGGGAACGCACAGCAACATCTAAGGCTCAAGGCAAACAAGGTCTCGTCTATCGCCATACAATCTGTTGTTCAAACTTCTTAGAAAATATCTGCAACCAGGGGATAGCAAGGGCCCGGGCAGAAAGGTTTGGGTGTCCTCCCTGCATGTGCCACTTCAGAGGGTCTTGCTGCGGCATGTGCTTGTAGCGCCTCAGATTTTGACATATTTTGACATGCTGCGCATGTTCTCCACGCCAAGTCATGGAGGACACACCGAGCACATCGAGCTCCCGACACTTGCCGCGTCTTTCGGTGTGTCAACACGAACAGAGCGACATGCTCTTCTGACCTCGCACTCAACATGACACCGATGTCCTTCAAAATTTCAGGTGGAGAGTCTCAAATTCTTGGGGAAAATCTGCTTAGGCTTGTCAAATTTCTCATTTTCTAAGGTTGCCCTCTGTGCCAAAACCGAAACTGCATAATTGGGCACCCCATCACAGGCTGCTCTCGCAATGGTTCCATGTCCATTGCTTCCCGCAGCAAGACCTGTTTTGCAGCGACAGGAATGGATCTGCTTTTGCAGCGTACTGGTGACTTGTCGTGTGCTCACCGCTGGTCACTGGGCTGCTTGAAAACAGGATTCCTCCTTGACTCTTCTATATGGTTGCTGGGTTAAGTGGGTAGTGGGTAGGAAGCCATAAAAGAAAAGAATGGTCTTCTCTCTCAACTCTTGCAAAGACCTAATTGATTCTACATACATACAGCATTCCGATGTTCATTGGTTTTCGCAGTCGTGATTCAGTCCTTTGAACTTTTATATACTATCATATACTTACTTACTTACGGTCATGGAGTCATGGAGTTGAAACTGTTTCGGATAGCCTCCCCGCTTTCTTCCCGGTCAATCTTCATGGTTTGACTGCCAGGAACATCGTCAGGCCAGAAGCCCTGGCACAGTGACAACGAAACACGACGAAACACGACGAAACAGCCCAGCTGAGAAGAGGAAACGAACAAAACAGCAAGGCCAATAGATCCAGCAACGGCTCAGCAAGGCCCAGCAAGGCCTTCATCTTCATGAGATCTCGCTCAAAAGTGAGCCTCACCTGCACGCGAATTCTGAAGGCGACTGCACATTGCTCCGAAGTGTCCCTGCCCACAGTACTTTTTCGCAATTCTGCTGATTCGACTCAGCAAAAGTCTCCCAGTTTCTGTTTTCTTCCAGCATGATGGGTTCTTTCCATGGCTAAAGAGAGGACTGCCATTAGAAAAGCAAGAGTGCAAGGAATCGCCCTCAAAAGAGCTGGATTTCTCCAAAAATTGGCTACCCGAAATCCTCTAATTGCTGGTCATCTCCCCCGCTAAAACGGCAACCCTGGGCTCTTCTTCCCAAAGCTTGGGACCAAGCCTCTATTCGATTCATTCGCTGAACCCTTTCACGACGACGTTCTTCGGCCAGCTTGGCCTGAACAGAAACAATATATGGCTGTGGGTCAAAACCCATCAGAATAGCCACAGCAAAAAAGTTCATCCCAAAATATATACAGTATATATATATATACATATATATATATACACATATATATATATAAATATTGAAATATGGTGTTTTTTGTTTTGACCCGTCCCCATAATGCAAATAAGCACAATGGTGACAACTCGGGACGATGTCAGAGGAAACGCAGCTGGAGACCAAAACCATGAGGAACAGAATCAGCAGGCACCGTGCGCAAATCAGTGTGTTTGCAAAAGCCCAAAAGAATGTATTTTCTGTTCAGGAAGGAACAACCAGGATCATCCAATATCTTTCATAGTTGTTGCGTTCTGGGATTTCGACGAGCACTTGAAACAAGCAAGTACTTGTTTTGGTTATGCCCGTGTTCACCAAGAGTTCGGTGTCGGCGCGAAGTGCCAATGATCTGTTTACTATGGCATGTAGGCGTTGACAGCTTCCCCAAAGACCAAGAACTTGTGTCCAGAAGACAAGGAACGTTGCCCTACACGGGTACCATCCGAAGCTTCCCCAACCTAGCCCCTTGCAAGAATCAGAAAATACCTCACCAAGGGTTCTTGCTGCTCGTGAAGGCTGGAATTCCAACCATCTCAGTTACTCTTGATAGCCACAACTACAATCAGGACTTTTCGAACTTGGATAAAGAGAGACACCGACCCAGATTCAGACGAGGGGGTCGCTTCGTCGCCTTCCCCGCACAGTTTCACCTTCTGCCTTTTTTCGGAAGATTCAGAAAAGGATAGAATACAATGGTTGGTTGCCATGGTGCTTTCGCGGCAGCATGAAATTGACAAACAATGGCCGAAATTTCTGGCACTTGGCACTTGGACTTGTCATGTTCAACTTCCAAAGTCCAGCCGCTCCAGCCTCCCTTGTACATCTTTCGATGAGAGCTTTGTACTTGGGATCCTCCAAGCTGAGGACAGGTGGAGTGAGCAGATCCTCCAGGGTCATTTTGTTGCGGTCATGGCCAACATGGCCAACATGGCCAAAAGATAAAACCACATGTGAAACGGACATCAAAGCCTCCGAATCCTGCTGAGATAATGCTAATTTGTTTTTTTGATCTTTTTGGGGAGTACATGGGAGTACTGTAGTTTGATCAGCCTTTGACTTGCACAACAACATAGCTAGACAACATAACAGAGATCACCTTCTCGTCTATTCGCACATACGACAGCATGTAGGCGTTGTGGATCCTCTGCCCCTTGGGGATTGAAATTGCGTGGGAAATCTCAACAGCATCCAATGAAATGAGACAGACAGCAGCTTCTAGTGACTTTGGCCCGCACGCAAGGCCAATTCTCACATAGGAGTGCTTGAGGTTGCTCGAAATAGTTCACAATCGACAGATCCTGCACTTGATTGAACTGGAAAATAATTGGAACAAGTGGATTCAGAATGCCCCACTTGTCTCGTTCTTTTTGCCAAGGGCCAATGCATCCTCCTAAAGCTCAGCTCATCCATGTCCACCCGCATCACCTCAGCCATTCCCAGCCTCACCGCCGTAGTTGTCTTCAACTGCAGCCTGCTCACTGCAAAACGTGACAACCTCCTTAGGCGAAGAGCCAGACGCAAGAGATCACCAAAATTCAAACATCAAGCAGCTTGGACTGCTTCATCTACCTCGAAAAGTCACTCGCACAACTTTAAAACTCCACATGTGTCATGAGCCAAGCTTCGTCGTCAAACTTGATCCACTGAGACTTGCCTTCACCTGCAGCTGAATCCAAGTTGCACTAAGTTGCCCTGGAAAGATCTGGACAACAACCTCCGAGCAGGGTACCCTCTTGTGGCAAACGGACGAAGGTGTAGTAGTGACCACTGCTGACACCTCCACTGTGAACAATGACCTGAGAAAACTCAGGATGTCCCAAAGGTCTCATCTTCGCCAAGAAGGGTGCACAAATGCAATTCTGCAAGCCCCTTACAGTGTGCAGCATGTACTTGCCGCTCCCTTTGGAAAAGGCCTGGTTCACAAGAATGGTACAGTATGGTAGCAAGGAACCATCGATGAGTGAGCTGATCAAGGCTTTTTACCACCGGGACAAGAAGGATCTTCAGGACTCATGCAACCAGACTTCAGAATCCAAACCAGGCAGCCAGTGCCTCCAAATCCAGGATCAGTGGGAACTCCATTTTGCTATTCAACTTGTTCCTCAGACGTCAGTCGCATACCCGGCATACCCAGCATAACCAGCTCTGCACCTGATGCTACACTCTGAGTCTTTGGCATATCCATCTTTTCTATGTCGAACATGAAGCGTTTCCTCGGGAAAACAGTGAAAGTCAATGGCATCCCGATGGCATACCGATGACCCCGTGCTCCCTGCTGCTCCCTCAGCACCCTGAGGATCAGAACAGCTGGATGTACAGCACCGGCGGGAAGCGCTTGAAGCGGATGCCCTGCATGAACCAAAGGCTCTCGACATATTTCGTTCACACCACAAGGCTGTACCTTCTTGCATCCAGAGTTCCTGCCTTTCGGGCTCTTTGCTTGCCATGGGATTCTGCATCATAGGCATTGTCGCCCTGCAAAAAGTGGAAATTGTTGGTTGAAATCTATGCTCAGATCCTGCAATGCAACATACCCAAACAAATACCAATAAGACTTTTGTACTTCGAGAACTCTGTTCTCTCCTCCAGAATCTCCTCGCGCACAAAGTCTTTCAGAGAGTCCTCGCAGGCAAGTCTGGACGTCGGATCTAGTGAATGCAAACAAGCATTTGGACAAGACAATGAAATACAACAAAACATATGTTTTTAATATGTAGAAAACAAAAAGTCAACAGTGGCTGAAGGTTTTGAAAGCAATGAATTGGCTAGTGAGCATTGGCAAGACACAACACTCAGAAAGTAGTGAAGAAACACAAGTTTGAAACCATGTTCCATTGCATCGCATCCTCTAAAGATGTGATCTCTGCGCCGGATTCATCTTTGACATTCAGCTGCAAATCGTAAAACCTTGGGCTCAGGGGCTCAGGGCTTGGAATGTCAAGAAAAGTGAGACTTTGGAACACTTTCATTGAGTGTAGCAGTGTAGCAGTGTAGCAGCGTAGCAGTGTAGCGTTGCAACTGGACAACTGGACAATAGACCAGTCCCAGATCCTTCAGCTCAAAGGCTCAGGACCCTGCGTCTCATTGCGTTGCGAACGATAGTCAACATCAACACCTGAGCTCCGGACTCTACAGTCACTACCATATTCTATTGGAATTACAGCAATCACATAAAGATTCAATACCCCAGCCAATCATGGAGAAATCTTTGAAGCGCGCATTCGATGTAATTCTCGAATTCACCCTCGAAAAGCCTGCCATCAAAGCACATTTGTCAAGGTTCTGGCTCTAGGAATGAATGCAGAGAAAGCCTGCTGACAGCTTGAATTGCTAAGTTGAAACAGCTGCACCTCTTGATTTCCCCATCTGTCGGGGTACCTTTCATTTGCTCTTCGAGGCGATCACACAAGAGTCTGTTCAGCTCCTGCGATGCGAAAAATGAAAAGGGCCACAGACGCACAAACCAGAACCACTGACAACCACTGACAACCACCCAACGAAACATGTCTGTTTTCTATAGGGTGTTTGAAACATCAGCGCTCCTGTGCATCGTGTTGCATGAAGGCGTCAGCGGTGTCCCACCCGAAGGATCGCATTAACTCCCGGCATGAAACGGGGACCTATCCGCTAGAAGCAAGAGTCAACTGTCGCACCAGCCACATTAATTTTCTTCACCTACCACTCTAGACATGTCCTGATTGTCATGTCTTTATGTTTTTTCCCATTGTTTCCTTGTCAATCATCTGTGTGTCACCATTTCAAGCCAAGAATTCCCAACTGCCCCGAAAGGTTTCAAACAAACCAAAAGCCTCACTCGTCTGAAGTCTGTAGAAAAGATTCTGCAGGGACACCAGCAATGGAAGTGCCTCGGAAGGACGCGAGGACCGAGGACCCTTCAAGGCAACTGTCACCTCCTACTATTGCACCAAAGCGGTCTTTGTGGCGTCTGCACATTGACTTGTCGTTACAGTCTGCTGCAAATTTTTACAAGACGGGAGCAAAGAAAGAGGATATTCAAGCTTTACATTCTTTCAATACAAAAATATATAATTACACAAGCTCCATGTGCGAAGTGCAAAGGCTCAACTACAGTGCACAACGCTTTGCTACGAACAAATATCCATCGGCAAGTCGCAAATCAAAAATAAACCCTTCAGCATGGTCCCTGGCCGGTCGATCATCATCGAAGCCAAGGGAGTCTGAGACGTCGTCGCTAGAAACGACCTGAACAGCTGCACAGTTCACAACTACCAGACCTCATGGTGCGCGGTGATAAACCACCATCAGCCCCTTATCCTTATGACAATTTCTTAAATATGTTCAAACCATGCAATCAACAGTTACACCACATTAAACCAGATTAAACCAGATTAAGTGATATAAAACCACATAAAACCACATATTGTATCATATTGTTGGGGATCCACAGGCTTCACCACAACTTCCGCAACACGAACTCCCGCTTCACCACAAGGGCTTCCTTACCTGGCTCAGGTCCGCCTCGGGCACCTCAATAGAATAGGCGATGTGCCGAAAGTGGCCTCGGGGGCGGCCAGTGCGAAAATGTATGAATTATATCGTATGTAACATATATATATATTATATTATATATATACTATGTATATTAGATATATTATAAAATTCATATTATATATATACTATATATATATATTATATTATATATATATATATTGTATATTGTATATGTATATTGAAATTCATATTATGTATATATTATAGTATTTTATATATTATATAATATATATAATATGAATAGATTGTATTTTATATATATATTAAAATTCATATTATATATATATATTATTTTATATGTTATATATCCTATATATATTATATTATTTATATAATACAATATAATATATATAATATATATAATATATATAATATATATTATATATATTATACATATTATATATATTATATATATTATATATAATATATATATATATTATATATATATTATATATATTATATATATTATATACATTATATATATTATATACATAATATATATATATTATATATATTATATATTATATATATTATATATATTATATATATTATATATATTATATATTATATATTATATATTATATATATATTATATATATTATATATATTATATATATTATATATATTATATTTATTATATATATTATATTTATTATATTATATTATATTATATATATATATTATATGATATAGGCCCACATTGAGCCGTCATGTACTGCAGTGGAACACATCCACAAAGGACCTGAAGCCAGGCCAGTCACCAGCAATTCACACCGGCCAGACTTTAAAGGCCTGGAATCAGGTAGAGCAAGCTGTTGCCTTCCTGTTGGAAGCCAAGTTCAGATAAGGACCACCTCCCTTTGGTTAACACTTCACGGAGAAAAGAACTTCCCATCTTTTTGGTTAAACTATCAGCAACCATTCGGGTCCCTTCCACCCATCGGACCTGTCCTTTGGTCTGCTTGAAGTCCCGCTTCAAAATAGTGACATCGATGGCGGTCCTCTTGTCTTCGATATGTGAGGCCGTGTTGCAGCACTTCTGGATCGTGTCATAGAGAGATTTGCTGTCCGTGACCGCGATGTAGGGCAAGTGGCTGATCTCGTCCTCCCAGTTCTGGATATTCAGATCTTGACCTTGAGCTTCTCGAATCAAAAACCTTAGCCAGTGTAAAGCTCCAACGCCTTGCAGCATCGCTTGACATTCAGCAGACAGAGTGTTGACCGTGCATCTCTTGATCCGAAAGCTCTTCCAGTTGATGATGGATATGGGATAGGACCTTTCAGTGGTCTCCATACGGCTGTCATAGAAGAATGTCACGAAGCCCCCTTGACTGGCTAGACGTCCTTGTTGAAGAAACTTTTCGTTCACCTTGGTCTTTGGCTTCTTGGTAGCGGAGCTTTTGAAGAAAATTGTTTGACCACACCAACTCTCATCGGAATGTGCTCGACAGCTGTTTCTCTGGTTCCATTCATCTCTGTATTCTTGTCCATCAGCTATCGTGACGCGATCGGGCTCCAAGTCGTAGCAGTTGGGTCCGGAGGGATCTCCTGCTGGATGAAAAAGAAGTTTTCGTGGTTGTATGTGGTGTCGGATCCAGCAACGTTCCTTCTCCTCCCAATAGTCCTTGGAAGGACTCTCATCCTGCTCCGGTTTGGTGTTTCCCCAGGATGCATCGGAAACGGTTCCTACCCTCAAAAATTCAAAGGGTATTGGTTGTATGGTGATGCCCAGGTCTGCGAACTGCACTGCTTCTCGAGCAAGACTGTTGGCCCCGATCAGATCCTGAATATACGGGTTAGGCATCGATTGCTGAAGCAATGCTACCCTTCCTGCCAAGTCTGGTCTGGTCTCCTTGGCCAGCCAGGACAAACTTCCAAGTAGTCCCCTCAACTGACTGATCTCCTTCTCGTTGCAATACGAGTACTTCTCTTGCTTTCGTTCTCGACTCAGTTCAATTTGTTGGATCTTCTTGGCGAACATAGGTTGATGGACCAAAAAGCTTCCATCCTTCTGGCATCGAATGTCCTTGCCGACGAACCTGCCATCCCCTTGGGTGAATTTTCCTAACTTGTAGTGCTCGTTCAACCACCTCATTTTTGTCCAATGGTCCGCGTCTCCTCCATGCAATAGATCATCCGTGGCCACGCTGATCACACCCTTGAGCTTAGACACGTCGTCATCGTCAGTCAAGTAGAAAAGGCATGGATCTCCGGCACTTTGTCGATAACCAAGTTGTTTCGTCAGGATCCGGAGGAGATGTTGGTACCAGGCATAGGGACCATCAAGCAGTCCATAGCAAGTCTTCTTCAGTTTCAAGAGTTGCCTCGGTAGATATCCAGGTAGAGGACATTCGGAAGGTTGGGAAGCATAGACTTCTCGGTTGATCTCGTCACCACTGTGAAAAGCCTGAGTGAAGTCTAAGTATCCCGGCAACCAGGCCATGCTACAGATCAACTGCAGGGTGCATAGAACTGTGTCCCGTGCACATTGAGGTGTTGTAGTTTCCAGCTCTTCGGCATTGGTCTCACTGAAGCCCTTCATGACATGTCGAGCTTTTGCCTTTGTACTTTCGTTTCCCTTCTCCTTCAGAAGTACACCAGCCTTCTTGGCTGCTGGGATATCATCCTCCTCGATGTTCTTCTCCGTCAAGACAAAACGTGATTTCACTATCTTGTCGCCAGCAGTGCGTCGTACTTCTTCCGATGTCGTAGGATCCAAGACTTCATAGGCATTGGTTTCCAAGTTGTTACGGACCTCCTTCTTGATGGCCTCGATGAATTGTTGCTTTTGATCCTTGGGAATATGTTGGAATTGGACCTCTTTCTTCATCTTGGCCTGCAGCATCCTCTCCACGCTCGTCATGTAAGTGTCCAAGAACCTTATTCTCAGTCTCTTTGCGTCCGGCTCATCATTCTCCAGGGTCTCGTCATTCTCAATCGTCTCCTCATCGACAACCTCCCGTGGTCGAACTTCTCCATGTCGGATCTCGTCCTCGATGAAGTCGGGCTCGTACTCGTCATTCTCCTCCACGGGAAGTCCTCCGGCTGGATACTCAGATGCTTCACCCTCGACAATTCGTGATCTTTTTCGATCACGTTCTTCTTCATGGGGTGTGGCCGCATGTTTCTCCGCCGTCTTGGAGATCTCAAATTCGGTACGACCAGTCCATGGTGTCATCACATCCATAGTGATGTGCTCCTGCCAGTTGTCGGTCTTATTGAACTCCCTTCCAGTGTTCACAAACTTGCCATAGGTTCTCCGCATCGGTGTCAGTCTCTCCATCTCCACTGGACAGTCGGCTGAAGCTTCATTGGGATCAAATAGCCAATCTCGAGGTTGTTGATGTATTCTAACCACCAATCCTAGTCGCTCATCCATCACCCATGTATCTTCCAACTGATCGTCCTTGTAGATGACCTGTCGGTGATCTCTTTTTCCAACTAGGCGATATTGAGGAACTCGTCCATGTTCTTGATCTGGTAGTGCCTCGCCTTCTCCAGGATCATCTTCAAGAGGGAAAGGTTCCTTGGTCAAATCGATGTATCCTTGTCGTGGTTGTTGTTCCAACTCCTGCCGTGTGTTGGCGATATCATCAATCCATTTGGTCAGGGTGAACTGTTCCTCCTCACTCGCCAATCTCAATTG